GCAGTTGTCCAAGCATTTCACTACATATCGTACTGTGTATGACTGTGTACGTGACAAATAAAAATTTGAATTTGAATTTGAATTTAAACTTAATAAATTATGTTTTCATGGATGCCTGGATGTTAAACTTATTGTTACACTTGATAAAGCTGCAACACTGATCATGTTTTTAAATGGTAAATGGTAAATGGCCTGTATTTGTATAGCGCTTTACTAGTCCCTAAGGACCCCAAAGCGCTTTACACATCCACCCATTCACGCACACATTCACACACTGGTGATGGCAAGCTACATTGTAGCCACAGCCACCCTGGGGAGCACTGACAGAGGCGAAGGTGAAGATGAAAGAATTTAGTTTTAACTCTCAGTGATGCCGCAGTGTTCGTTTGACTTTGGGACCTTAAGCGGAGTTTGGGCCCAGATTATTCTGCGAGGCTCCTGACTATGACATGCCTCGATCTTCACCTAGAAAAGCTGGAGCAGATGGCTGGCAAGAGGGAGGTCTGGCTTCTCTGATATGCTGCTGCCCCCCCCACATCTTGGCCCCAGATTACGTGAATAAAAATGGATGGACATTCACAAACACATTATAGACAATCCACAAACAAACAAACAAACAAAAGGAATTAAATTATTTGCTCACACCTTGATCATTACTGAGTTTGTTTTTGCCTATGTTGGTTCTGATCACAGCTTCATCCAGTTTGGTGCAAGTGTTGTTCTCAACATCGGAGAACTGAAACACACAGCCGTATCTTCTCCAGTCTTCAGATTTGACTGATGAAACATTCAGATCAACACTTATCTGGAAGGTCCCATCATGGTTGGGGAGGATCTTTCCAGGATCCACACCTTCAGGTATCTTTTCTTCATCTTTCCTCCAGAACATCACGGCTCTGTCAGGATAGAAACCTGTAGCGTGGCAGCTGACTGGAGAGGAGGGAGTCTTCTGGAGGAGAGACACTGAAGGAGGAACTGGAGAGAGGGAAAGTGGGAAAGAGAGGGATGGAGACAATGGAGGCAGAGGGAAGGAAGAGGTAATGATTAGAAAAGAAATCAATTGAGGATATAAAGAAGAATACATTCAGTAGGATGAAATGTACAACATACATGTCAGATGAAAAACATCATAGTAGCAGCAGAAAATAATTGTGACTGAATGTTTGTGTAGGTTATCAGTCTTCCAGGTAATGGTAGTCTATGAAGCTTGGAAAGAAAGCAACTGGACTTCTTGTCTTACCTTTCATCTGAAAAGCTTCCTTAGTCCTAAGATCAAATGGTGGAGAGTCCCGGGCATTTCAAACACTAGTGGGGCTTATCCCTTAAGAGAGTCGTTGAGCCACTATTAACCATGGTAATAGTGGGTCAACTCCTACTAGGGTTTAAATACCTAGCACACTCCACCATTTGGTTTTAGAGCTAAATGGGATTCTCGGATGAGAGGTGAAATGTCTTCAACAAACTTAAAGATGTCGCTTTTCTTCCCAAGCTCCATAGTCAATTGTGACTGAAACTCAAGCAAAGGTGTGAAAATCCAAACAAAAATCAATTTGCAATTTAAAACAGAGCAAGCTATTCAAGCCAAAGAGTTACCAGCTTTCTAGCAGTTGAGCGAGGATATATGATTGTTGATAGGTTTGTAGCTTGAACCTATTCGCTGGAACGTTGAAGACAATATAATTACACAGCAAGCAAG